CTGAGATTTGAAGTATTTTTTCTTACCCTATTTTCATTATTCGGACAAAAAACTTGTCCTCGTCTTTGAAAGGAACATTTATCAAAACTTTTCGGCCTTTCCATATCTGTACATATATATATATATAGATATATATATATATATATATATATATATATATATTATTATATATATTTTTCTTAAATATTGCGGCCATATTTATTACAAATTTTTTTATTTGGTTTTTCAGTATCCGTAAATTTTTCCCATGCAAAAAAATGAGTTAAAAAATTTATTGTTCTGATTATTAGAAACCAGGTTGGACTTTTCGGGTCAATTTATCAAAGAGTTTTTTCGCAATATTTATTGACAACGTTTGAGCCGTTGTATGGCACCATTGGAGCCTTCTGGAAAACCCGTGGTTGGAAATGTCAAAATGACAAATGGTTGTTTAGCAAAAACCACAAGGTGACAAGAATCTGAAAACACTGCTTTTGTTCAACTACTGGATAGCAGATTATCTCTCCAAGAAACTCTAAGGTCCACTGAGCATAGGTTTTCCAAAACCAAAGGTTGCGTTAGTCAGATCCTGAACAGGAAACAATGTGCCTTGTGAGTTCAATAACAGGTTAAGGCGGTTACCAAGCAGAAATGAGCAGCCAGCTATCATATATATATATATATATATATATATATATATATATATATATTCAAATAGGTTTGGATAAATAATTTAGATATATCATGTCGATCAGTTTTTGTTGTGATCCTTTCAAGTTCATGGATTAATTTCTTGGTAGCCTTAGAAATTGATTAAGAAAAATACCAAAGTTTTCTTTCAAATAGTTTTTATTTTCCCGAAGTACTTTTAATTTCATGAGACCAACTTCAGGGAGTTAAGTTATACAGTATAACCCGGATGTAAGAGAGTTGTCGGGACCGGAGAAGAAGTCTCTTATATCCGGGTTTCTCTTATATCCGGGTTTGGTCTATTTTATATACATTAACACAGGTTCTAATTTGGGACCAGAGAAAATCTCTCTTATATCCGGGTTTCTCTTATATCCGGGTCTCTTATATCCGGGTTACATTGTATGTGAGTATGTATATGTGTTTCTATAAATTCAAAACATTTTAACTGTTCGTTTTTACTGCATTCTAGATTTCAAAGTTCAAAGCTCATGTATTTTTGCTCTCATATATAAAAAGGATTACAACGAAAACTAATCGACATGATATGTCTAAATTATATAACCAAACCTTTTTTCATGGATCTTGTATGTCGAGTCCTAGCTGTAAATGTATGAACAGCTAAAACTAAAGAATGCCATGGAAATAGTGATAGGTGTGCAATGTTGCGTTTGTGGTAAAGAGTAGAAAAATGTCAATCCTTACAAGACTCTGTAAGCGATTTTTGAATCACTATCAAGGCTTGAAATTAAGGACTGAACAGCTGCAATCCAGACACAGCAAGAACACTCCATTTTGGGTCTAATCTGAACACATGATATTAAAGAATTTTTAAACTGGTATTTTCAATTCTTTGTTTTACTGTGTATTTATGAGATACTAGAAACACAGCTGAACATTTCACTTTTTCCTACTTCATGACGAGTTCTATAACAATGAAATATCCGTAGAAATTCTATCGCATTGTTAAATACTTGAACTTAATAACTTTAACAAAATATTGAAATACCAATCATAAATATGAATGCTGGTCGTTATTCCAAGAAATAAAGGGATACAAATGAAAAGACTCGAAATAGACAATTTTTTCTATTTCACTGAAACAGACGTTAAACACTTCTGTCTTTCCTTCCTTCTTGTTTTCTTTCATTCATTCATTATCTCTCTGGAATCAAGCAGCGCCTCTAATGTCTTTTCCGTATTTTCAATGCGATCAAAACGGAATAGTCCATTATTTATGAGGTATTTGCAATGCGCAACGTTCGTGTTAAGTTACTAAGGTAATGGCAAGCAGAATAATAAGAAGATATTTATGACCCGACAATCGTATTTTTATTTCAATTCATTGTTCCGTCTTCTTTCACGTTTTGTGACAGCTTATAAAGAGTCCTGAACCTGAAGATAACAACGAAGATACAGATTACCTTCTATTTCGTACACAGCTAACGGAGCAAAAGTTACCATTAGTACCTAAAGGCCAATTTTATGACTTTAATTACAATGTGAAGGTTTACTGAATCATACAATTACTCATTACAGTTAGAGGGTTCATCCATAAGCTTGCTAATTTTTTTTTCATGGAGGCGAATAGTAGAGCCGAGTATTTTCTAGTTTAGGCTTAAATTTATTTTATTAAAGAAGGTTAATTGGAGCCGAAATGATTTTATTGGAGAATGCGTGCCATATATCAATTTAAAATCACCTTGCAATTGAACACTTGAACCCATTAAGATGGGATCATTAAGCCGGTTGAAAATGTTAAACATTCACAGGTTACAAAATAGGGGCTGAAAAAAGTAAGAGTGAAATAGTTTCATTTGTTTTTCGAAAGCTTTTTCTTTGCGGTTTTTACGAGGATCGACGTTCACTTGGCTCGCGTACCACGGCTACGCGTACGACGCGCGTCCGGCAACGACAAGGACGACGGCAGGTCGCGATCGGCGCACGCCCAGACTACGACTCTATCGACTCGGTCGCTCGCTAGCGACAACCGGCAGACTTCTGTCGGATGCCGACGAGACACCAGTAGACAAGCGGCAGGTGTGCGTCTTCCGGCTGCCGGTTACCACTGACTGCCAGCATCCTAGTTTTCAGATCACCGCGAACGATTTTCGTCTTGGCTCGCTGTCGCCGGCCAGGTAGGTGACCATAGATTCCTTAATCCTAGCCGCAGTCCATTACTCCAGCGGAATAATATCGATACATCATTAAATCCAGATAATGGTTGAATAAACCCATGAAGAGTTTGAAGATAATCAAATATCCGTAGAAATTCCACCATCGCATCGTTAAATATTTGAGCATAACAAAATATTGATATGAATGATGGTAGTTATTTTAAGAAGTAAGGGGGTACAAATAAACAAAATTAAAATTGACAATTTTCACTTCTATCTTCCCGTCTTCTTTTTTTCATTTTCTCACTAAAATCAAGTAACGTCTCTGTTATGTCTTTCCTGACTATTAAAATGGAATAGTCCCTTATTTATAAATTATTGGTAGGGCTTAATGATTGCGTTAAATAAGATACAGACAAGCAGAATTGTATTAAAATATAATAATACTAGCCGATTTACCCGATTTTTTGTAAGAAAATGATTGATTTTAAATCATTGTTATAATTTGTGGAGAAAAATCATGCATTACTCAATGACGTTGCCCATGTGACCTCCATCTTCTGGCTTTCTCCTATATTTTGGATAGGAGTCATTTCCTTGTACAAATTTAAATTTAACTTAAATGAAAGGGAAAAGGGATTTTCAGTGGAGGGTTTGTGCAAAAACCAGCTCGATATGTATTTGATGCAATACTTGATTGTATGAATTGATGAGCAGATTTTAACATTGATTGGTGATTTCTTGCTAAACTTGACATCCATATTGTCTCATTTGATCTTGTTGCTGTGCCCTCCATCTTCTGGCTTTCCCCGTCTATATTATGGATAGGAGTCATTTCCTTGTTCAAATTTAAATTTAATTTAAATCAAAGGGAACGATGTGCCCCCCCCCGATACCTCTAACAAAATGATCTTGCCAATGTGACCTCCATCTTCTGGCTTTCTCCTTCTATAATATGGATAGGAGTCATTTCCCTGTTCAAATTTAAATTAACTTAAATCAAAGGGGAAAAAGTTTCGGGGGGGGTGTTGTGCCTCCACCAGAGACCTCCTTTAATTAAAATGAAATATATTTATCCAAGTACCCTAGCAGTCATTCCGTTCAAATTTAAATTTTTAAAAAATTTAAGAAATCACTGGAGGATTTGTGCCCCACACCGGAAACTCACTTTACCCTGGGTAATATAATTTCAGAATATATGTAGTTATGGCAGAGGTCTATCTCCAAAACACTAGGAGGAAATCGATAAGAAACAGAGGCTACAACTTTATATATATATACATATATACATATATATATATATATATATATCAGGTGGCCTGACGATTGCGTCAAGCATGAAACAGACTGTCGCCTCTAAGTGTTGACTTCAATGTTCACTTATATATATATATATATATATATATATATATATATATATATATATATATAATGGACTATCGTTTTCGACGTATGAGGATCTGACAGCTTATTGATTCAGTTATGAAAGTTTGTGCGATAATCTTAAGTGGCATTTAAGACCCGCTAGTGATTTACAAAGGAGGCCACATATATATATGTATATATGTAGAGAGAGAGAGATTAGATATTGTTTGAAATATATAATTTGCATGTCAGTATTTATTTCGATTAAATGCTTATTTATTTGGGGAATGTCATAACAGACGACACAAAATATTATACACAAAACCGAAAGCGCAGTGGAATAGGGAATAATGCCTTCCAGAAGCTATACAATGTATTAAGAAACAGGAAATTTTCGTTAAAAACAAAAACAACTACTGAACTGCTACGTTATATCATTTGAACTGTTCCTCCACAGATGAAGAGGTTGGTTGGTTGTTTGGTTGGTATTGTTTGATGGCATATCAACACCTCTATGAGTCATTTAATGCCGAAATCTAAGAAATTTGTGCGACTTATTTTTTTTAGATGATGATGATTTTAGTGATACAATTCTTACTAATTAACCCATAGTTGGGGAAAGGATGTGAATTCATGCTTTTCCCAATAAAATTTTAAGAATATTTTTGAGATAATAATAGTTTAGTAATACATGTCATACTAATTAACCCATAGCTGAGGAGAAGAGATGGTTCATAGATTTACCAAGGGTATTTGCGCATAAGTAAACATAACGAACACAACTGGAATTGAAACTTGGCCCTCCAATTAACAATTCCAAGCCTTCATTACACCCTACGCACATCCAAGCTTACAGCACCTGGTATTCCCAGGCGGTCACTAATCTAGTTACTGACCAGGCTCGACGTTGCTTAACTTCATTGATCGTAAGGGAACCGATGTTGGATGAAAAAGAAACTTGAAGAGACAGAGATGTTGCTGTGCAGAAGAATTAATGATGGCGATGAAAATTCAGGATGTGAAATTGGCAAATATGAAACACTTGAAATATTTTGATTCATGAATCAGTCATAACAGGTTTATTTTTTTTGTTGTTTGTTTGTTTTTTTTGTTTTTGTTTTTTTTTTTTTTTCAAGCATTTCACCCCAATGCGGGAGTGCCACTAGCACGCAAGGGGTTACAGAGTGTGATAGTAAGAGTAAAGAGGAGTGTTTGAAGAAAGGATAAAGAGATCGACGCGGATCAAGATCAAGGCATCAGAAGATGTCGATTGACATTACATTTGAAGATTATAGCTATCAGGGGAGGAGGAAGGGAGTTCCACGGGTGGGAAGTGCGAGAGAAGACGGTATTGGAATAGAAGAGGCGGTTTCGACAGTTAAAAGGTGGGACCGAGATGCCAACCCAGTAGCACGTTTAAATTCATGCAGTCTGGGTACCAGTGAAAGTAGCTCGTCTGAGAAGTTGCCAGGAAAATATTTGTAGAAAAGATAAAGAGAAGCCACAGCACGTCTGTGAAAAAAATGATTGGATTGAGATTAGGGCAGGAGATGATGAAATTGAACAAAGAATAGGCTGTAACAGAAATGGTTTCAGCGTTAAACCGTAAATTGATGCAAAACGAAAACATTAACAAGAAAACTCCTGCCATGTTCCTTAAATAGCCTCGTTTGATCGAGACTTTAATATGGATGCCGTACCATGGCGCCTAATCCGTTCAGAAATATCGAAACTTTCAGTTGTATAGAACCGTTTTCTAAGATCAATGGTTAAAAATGGCTTTGGGTGAATGAAAGATGTAGGTCTCATTGAGATCCCCCCTTTCGCGAAGTGCGGGGACTGGCGCTGAAGAATCTCAAAGAACCATACCAAATAACAAGGGACCACATCACGGCAACAACGAAAATGGATAGCACATGTAATTCGAAGAGAAAATAATGACATAATCACGATGCTGATATTCTACACGACTTCAAACAAAAAGTTTGAAGGAAGCCCCCCCACACACACACACACACACACGTACACAGACACACACACACACACACAGACACACACACACACAGACACACACACAGACACACACACACAGATACACACAGAGACACACACACAGACACGATATTGAGTCACCCCCCCCCCACGAGGGTGTCATGTGGCACAAGGCCTTTTTAACGTGGGCATTCCGAGCCCGTGGGCTCGGCCAAAAATATACACACACACACTAGCACACACACACACACACACAGGCACACACACACATACACACACAGACATACACACAGACACACACACATACACACAGAGACACACACACACGCACAGACACACACACACACCAATACTGGAAAGAATCATAACAACGGATATGAGGGACCTATTTTCCTAAAAAAAAATAAACGTTTCAAGAGAAAGATTTATTTAAATTTTAATTGACAGTAACAGTATCTGTTCGGCCAATAAAATCTGAATACTTCCTTATAAGAAAACTGTTAATATTAAAGCTGATGTGCTCACGGCCATAACTGAAATTGTTTACCAATCAGTCCACAATAATGTAGAAGCTCGTGCCGTGACTCTAGATATCTCTAAAGTGTTTGATAGGGTTTAGCAAGTCGGCCTCCTCCGTAAGATTAAGGGATTCCAAGTCGATTAATTGACTTAATACGATCATTTCTGTCAAACCGTGTAATGAAGGTCGTCCTTAACGGATTCTCCTCCAGTTTCCTTTCCTACGAAAGCGGGTGTTCCCCAAGGCACTATCCTGGCCCTCACTCTGTTCCTTATCTTCATTAACGGTCTCCCCAATGTCATCAGTTCCCAAGTAGGCATCTATGCTAACGACAATACTATTTACTCCTGCCTCAATAGCAAATCTGGTATCGCTGACAAAACTAACCTGGCCGTTAGTCTCGAATAGGACCTCCAATCGGTTGTAGATCGGGACAGGAATTTGCTGGTTAACTTTAATGCCTCTAAAACAAAACTGCTCTCTATTACTCACCACTTCGAACTATCCCTGCCTCCCATTAGAATGTCTGATGCTCAACTCCACGAGAGCACCTCTCTGCGACTGCTTGGTCTCACACGGTCCGCTGACCTGAGATGGAACAATTACATTGAATCAATAGGTTCATCCACCGCAAAGAAACTTGGTTCTCTGTGTCGCGCCAAAACGTTGTTCTTCGCCTGAGTCCATCCTTCAAATCTATAAATCATATATTCGCCCTTGCATGGAATACTGTTGCCATATATGGTCTGGTGTCCCCGCTGTTCGTCTCAAGGACCTCGACAAGATTCAGAAACGGATAAGCAATGTGGTTGGTCCTGATCTGGCATCTCGTCTTCAGCCGCTCTCTCACAGACGTGCCGTCGCCTCCCTCTGTCTTTTCTACAAATACTTTCACGGTAACTGCTCCGACGAGCTACTCTCGCTAGTTCCCAGACTGCATGAATTTAAGCGTACTACTAGGCTGGCATTTCAGACCCACCCTTTCAATGTCGAAACGGTTAAATGTGGCCGTCTCTTCTACTCCAATAGCTTCATGTCTCGCACCTCCCATCTGTGGAATTCCCTTCCTATTAATTGTTTACCTGATAACTATCATCTCCAACTATTCAAATGTAATGTCAATCGACATCTCCAGATGCCCTGACCTATTCCCTGCCCTTCTCTTCATTCTTTCCTCCCTCACACCTCTTTACTCTCGCTCACACTCTGTAACCCCTTGCGTACTAATGCCATCTCTCCTTGCTTGGGGTGAAATGCTTTAAAAAAAAATTACCGTTACTATTACAAATGAAGAGATACTACACTTTGATCCCATCCCGATCACCAAGGAGTGAAAAAAAGGCTAATTTGAGTAGCACTTTTTTTTTCAGTCAATGAAAGCCTTTTTTTTTACATTGATGTTCAACCTTTAATGGAGCCAAGAGTCACTCAAGGTAGAGGGTTACAGAGTAAGCGGCACCAATTCAAACAAAGTGATAATGCCTCTAAGACGCAAGGGGGCATTGGAAGTGAAAGATAATGAAAAGGCTTTAGAAGGAACCGGAAACACGATCCTAAACAGGAAACAAGTGATAAACCTCTACTTCTGTTCAAAAGACCGAACACTAGGCGAACCTATCTACTCCTATTCCAAAAATAAAAAAGAAGATAAATCAATAGTAAAAAAGAAAAGTTCAGTGTTGTAAGAGGAGAGGTTAGAAGTATAAAGTTGAAGTAGACCTTAGTAAGAACCGGAAACACAACGCATAAACCTTTACACCCTTTCAAAAAACCGTGGAGAAGGGTGAACCGGACGATAGACGAACCTATCTACTCCTATTGAGGAGGAAACAAATAAATAGAAAATAAATAAATAGTAAATAAAATTTCAGAGTTTAGAGGAGATGTTAGCAGTATGGAGAAGGAACTGGAAACATAATCCTGAACAAGAAACAAGAGATAAGCAACTACTCCTGTTCAAAAGACCAGGGAGTAATTTGGACGAAAGAGGAATCTATCTACTTCTATTGAGTATTTCCATGTAAGGAGACTGCTATTATTACCATTCAACATTGCATTCTCTGTAAATCTTTAAGATAAATGATAAAATCACAGTAATAATGAGGTTGTAGTTAACCTTGCTCAAAGGTTAAAATTTCCTTCTGCATCGTGCGTCAAAAAAAAAAATATTTAATGGAATTTATCTTTGAAAGATGCTTTGGGATATTGTGTAAATGTATAAAGATTTGAGTAGATAAATCAATCAACCCGTTTGCCTTAGAAAAAAACACCCACCCCCACACAAATGATTCGAAACATTTCCCACTTTACACATCCTTTAGATTTAATCATTTTCCGCTTTAAACATTGGCGCAAATTCCTAACTCCTGAAAATAATTCCGCTTATCCGATTTGCAAATACTTGCAAAAATCTATATATAAAAAACAAAGGATATCTGTTTGTGTGATACCTTTTCACTCAAGATACATCCAACCGATTCTGAACAAACTTGTCACATACATTGTACCTGTAAGAGATAGTTTATTAGCGTAAAAAATCGATAATTTAAAAAAAAATCAATAATCGATAAACCCGATCAAAAATCGATAGTATGAACTTTTTTCCTCCGGTTTCATTCAAACTCGGTATGTGGGTTACTTACATCATGACAAGCCCAACAATACCTCTTTTTTTATTTCTACCCCACTGCGTTTATCGAAAACGGCGAAAAACAAAAAATCGAGTTCAACACAAATTTTAAACTAAAAAATCCCTCAATTTTCAAGTAATCTAATACAAATTTAGTTGTAGCCAACAATAAGTTGATTGTTTAACATTCATTTAACTTGATAACCGAGTCCACCCATATAGTGAAAACACGCGTAAATAGCGAAATGGCGATTTTTACTGGTTTCTTTCTTATTTTTCGTTGATCTTTCGAACCAATTTTCATCAAAAACAATTGCGAAAACTGACAAAAATTTCAAAAACCTGGTCTGAAGTGGGTCTTCATGTTGCCTGTTTTACCCCTTCATGTCCACAGCTAACTTCGATTGAATAAATACAGACTACTTCTGTTATATCAGTAACTGAATTTATTCAAAATGTTTTTAATGAAAGTACTTTAAAGTAATTAAAGAAGATAAAGTCTGTTACATCTAAATATGATGCTGTTTTTGCTCCATTCTAATTGAACACTTTTTCTGATCGACCAGCTGTATATAGCTGCTAATATATCATATAAGTGATATCACATATAGAATAGTTTCATGAATTTTTACTGCACGGGAAAATGAATGTGTTGAATGTTCATATGTACAAGGTTAGGCAAAATAGAGATAATTTATTAAAAGTATA